CTGTTGACTTAGATTTTAAAGCCTCAGGTAGCGATATTAAGTGCTTAACTCATGAAAACAGCACTAGAATCTAAAAATGAGTCATTGTACATAATCTCTAATTGCTCACAGTATAATGATAAAATCCTTGTAAATAGATAAACCATTCCTAAGTCCTAGTTCTTTTGGGGGAAAAAATTTAAATTTTCTATATTCTGGTAATATAGTTCCTCAGGTTTCATTGGCAATTTGGAGTTCACATAGTGCTTTCATACACGTTACCACGTTTGAGCTCATAATTATCAGTCTAAAACTGATATAATCCATAACTGACTATAGAAATGCTATGCAAATGATAGAAAAGGATGGAAGAAATGTAAATATCTAAATAAATATAAAGTAAATATAAATATAAATGAGTTGGTAGAATGAAGAAATTCTGGAAATGTCTTCTGTTCTCATTTCCACAATTTGCATGAAATAGCTGGGTTGTTTATAACCATTTTGGTTTGCTTAGAAACCTTGTTAGAATATTCATGGTGACTTAACTGTGGCAGATTACAAACTCTAGTAGGCACTTCTTTAAAAAAATAAACTTTTTATTTACAACGATTTTAGCTTTACAGAATTCTTGTGAAGATAACTCAGAGTGGTCCCCTATACTTCACATTTCTCCCATTATTAACATCTTACATTAGTATAGTGCATTTGTTACAACTAATAAATCAATATTGATACATTGTTATTCACTAAAGTCCACAGTTTATTCAGATTTCTTTAGTTTTTATGTAACGTCCTTTTTCTGTCTCACGATCCCATCCAGGATATCACATGACATTTAGTCTTTGTGTCTCCTTGGGCTCCTCTTGGCTGTAACAGTTTCTCAGACTTCCTTATTTTTGGATGACCTTGACAATTGTGAGGAGTACTGGTCAGGTATTTTGTAGAATGCCATCAATGGGAATTTGTCTAATGTTTTTCTTATGATTAATCTCTGGTTATGGATTTTGGGGAAGAAGATCCCGGAGGCGAAGTGCCATTTGCATCACCATAGCAAGGGTAAATCCCAACAGCACAATCTATCATTGGTGGTGTTGCCTTGACTGCCTGGCTCAGATAGTGTTGGTTAGGTTTCTCTATTGTGCGGTTACTCTTTTTTCTCTCTTTCTCTACTGTATTCTTTGGAAGGAAGTAGCTGTTCTCAGCCGAGACTTAAGAAGTGGGGAGTTAGGCTCCATGTCCTTGAGGGTGGAGTATCTACATAAATTATTTGGGCTAATAGGTATTTTAAATTTTAAAAATCTAGGTGGATTCCACAAGTCAAGGGTGTTATAAATAAGAAAGAGGAAAAAGATGAGGAAATCCATATGAGGAAGCCAAGAAGTGAGGAAGTCAAGGTAATGATTTCAGCTAGGGTGAGAGGTAGAGTCACACTCCTCAGCAGGGGTGAAGCCTCATGACTACAGGCATAGTCTGTCCAACTTTTTCCTGCCCACCCTGTTCCTCTGGAAAAGTGAAGCATTTGAACACTTAGAAACTATAATGAAGTCCATATTCTTTTACTTTTCTCCTGGGCTCATTCTGTGAATATAACACTCCATTTGCTGCCAGTGCCTATCCTGCAACAAGGTGCTGGTCCCCCAACTGCATATAGTGTTTCCAGGTTTCCTGGCAGAATTCAATGTCCTTTCTTGGAAGTGGATATTAGTGAATATGTGATGGGAGTGGGAGTAAAATGAAGTAGAGATTAAGTGATTTGCTAAAGATCTTCATAATTAATTATTTCTATCTTCACCATTCAACTAAAAGGTCTCCCTCAAAACTCTCCAAAGTTCTATTTGTTGTCAAATACAACAGTCCTGTATCCTTCCTTATTCTCCTTGATCTTGCTATTGCATTTGACTCTGTTAACTGCCCTCTGGTATTGGATAGCCATTGCTGTGTAACAAGCCGTCCAAAAACTCAGTGGCTTAAAAAAGCAATCCTCTATATTTGCTCATGCATCTGCAGGGCAGCTGGAATTTATCTAGGCTGGGGTCAGCTCAGTGGTTGGGTTCCTTATGAAGGTCTGCTAGCTGGCTGGGGAGTCACTGGTCTGTGTGTCTCTCATCCTCCTCCTCAGGCCAGCATGCTAGCTGTGGTATGTTTTGACCATGGCAAGGGCAGAAGGCCAAGAGAACAAGTGGTGACATCTGAGATCTCTTAAGAGCTAGGCTGGGAATTGGTGCTGTCATGCCTGTCTATATGCTATTAGTCAAAGGAAAGTCACATGGTCAAGGGACAGAAAATACACTGTACCCTCAATGAGACCAGAGTTAGTGTGTGGATGCCAGGACTAAAGTGAAGAATTGAGGCCACTAATGCAGGAATGCAATTTATCATGCCCTTGCATCTTGAAACACTCTCCTCTTTTTTTTGTTTTTAACATAATGCTATCTTGATCTTCTCACCTTTTATTATTTCTTAAGTTCTTCTTCCTTCAATGTCTGTACTATATGTAGACTTTACCTAAGGCTCAGCCTTTTGGTCCTAATTTCCTCCCTGTATGTAAGAAATCTCATCCTGGCTTAGAGTCTGTGATGTCCTAACAATCATTTCTGGTTTACCTTTGGGCATTTCCATATTTCCATTTGGAACTGCCTAAACTCATAATCTCTGGTCCCAGGCTCCACTTAAATCAATGTTTTTTTCCCAATACAAAGATATATTTCTGAAATACATCTGAAATACAGTACCTTTCGATAATCATTTTGATGTGAATGCAAAAACAAAAACAGAACGCTAATGAAGACTTACCCTATGCTAACAGGAGTACGACATTTCTGAAGATGAACAGGAAATAGGCCTGAAGGACAATGATTATGATGAGAAGAGTTTTAGAAAACCATTTTCTATGAGAAATGGCTAAAGTTACTAACAATTTTCTTTAATCTAGAGATTATATATGGCATCATGACCACTGTGTTTAGATAGTTGAAAGTGTGTGGTGTGGAAAAACCTGATTTTTTTCTACATAGCAGGACTGCTTCCAATGAGGATGGATTTGGATGTTGCTTTGCTTCCCATGAATTTGTCACCCCTTTTCCCCTGGGTGATGGAGCCACAAAGAATTACTCAAAGCCCATCTCTTCTGAGTAGTGAGAAGCCCCAAAGGGGTTAATCTCCCAAGAGAGAGGCATTCCTTCCATTTGGGAAATTAACCATGAATTTGGGTTCTCCCCCCACATTTATTCTCCAGACCAGGAAGTTACAGGAAAAGAACATAGGTGGGGTTATGGTTAACAATATAGGCTGGTAACATTCAGTAAAACAAGCAAGGTGACATTCCATAATGCAACTTGCAAGAAATTAAGAAGTTGGTCCACCAACAAGAGCTTGATCTTAGCAGACATTCTCTCTCCTTACAGCAATTTCCCAGTATCTTTACCTATCAATCAGTAACCTGTCTGTCCTCTGAGCCAGCACCCTTGCTGTGCTACAATTCTTTATCTTACAACAGAGACTAGCCTGGAGAAAAATTTCCTGTCTTTTGCAAGGTTAACATTTTATATGTACTTTTAAGAAGTTAGGTTAAACCTGAAACTGCAAGAAACTAAGCCCTGTGAAATATATTTGCTTTATAAATGTAAGCATTCTCCACATTTGGGGGAAGAAAATTTTAGGTTGATATAAGAAAATAACTTTTAGAAAGAAGAACTATACAGAAACAGAAAGGTTCTGCTCCCCCTTCCCCCAATTATTCATTAAAATCCTGTCCATCCTTCAAGACTTATCCCAAGTCTTTATCCCCCCCCCACACTCATCCCTGACAATTCAAATTTTATTCCTCCCTCTCAACTCATGTTGCTAATCTCCCATCCCATCTCAACTAAATTAAGTGTTCTTTGAAAGTAGAAATAGGACATCCTAATTTATAACTTCAAGCATGAAACACTACACTGAGCCTCTAACAGGCATTCAGGAAATTCTTACTGGCTTATCATTTCAATCACAGATTTCCTGATTTCTAACCTTAATCATCAGGCTTGGTTAGAATTTGAACCAGACTGTATTGCTCAAAAATTGAATCATTTCACACTGATTTCACAAGAGGATTTGGCTTCTGATTTTAATGAAAGCCTGAAGGGAGGAGTAGATTTTGCCATCTCTTGTCCATCTAAACTTATGTTTTCCTACTCATCGGAGAAAGACACTGAATGTAGAGATCCTCTAAGATCTAGATTTATAGCTCAGATAATTTGCTGGGTGAAACAGCAGAGTAAACGTGCCTAATTTCTCCATGTCTGAAGATTATTTAAGCACAAATCAACTGGTGAATGGGAATATATGCTGTGGAGGAATGCACACGACGCTGGCAAACTGACTCTCTAGCTGGTGTTCCGATCTGCCTGTTGTCATAGTTACTGGTGTATGCAAAGCAATTTCCCTCCCCAATCACACTCTGTAGACCTTCAGTGAAAATAAGCTATTCTTCCAGCTTTATTTTTCTTTATCCATGAATTGAAGCTAAAAAAAATGGCATCAGCTGCATGAATATCTTTATATTCTTAGCAATATTTTAGACATCCAAAAGTAATACATGAGGTTTCATCAAAATAAGTGCCTCTGCTTAAGGTCTCACCTCATTTGTTTGGCAGTGATTCATTGAGCGCCTGGGTACTGGAGACACTACTGTGGTTTGTCCTCAGGGGTGGACATCAAAGCTGTGTGAGGGAGAGAGATGAATAAGGAATGTATTTCAGTGAAATGCAATCAGTGGTGGAAGCCGGGGATAGAGAGCCATGGGAATGCAGGAGAGAGACACCTCAGTACATTGTGGGTGCTGGTAGGGTCAGGTCAAAGATCACCCTGGGCATCTTGAAACATTGTTCCTGGGAAGTTTAGCAAACTTCTTTTCAGTCGTTCTGGGTACAGAATGCCAGTGTGACCCTGCGGGCTGGGCTCACATAGCAACGGGGTGGAGGGGCCGCTGTGCTGTGGCCTGCTGCTCACACATGGCTCTCCCTTCTGCTCTGCCACAGGAACTCCTTCACAGACATCCTCCGCGCCATCCTGCTCTCGTTGGAAGTCCTTATTGAAGATCCTGAGCTGCAGATAAATGGCTTCATTTTAATTATAGACTGGAGTAATTTTTCCTTCAAACAAGCCTCCAAACTGACACCATCAATCCTTAAACTGGCCATCGAAGGGCTGCAGGTATGTTCAACAAATGTACGATACAAGGTGACAATGTACTTTTTTCTCATTGCAACCAATGTAATATTTGTCTTTTAGGACGGAAAAAAGGTAACTTGGATAAATTCATTTGTGAGTACTCCATATTTTTACCTCAGTCTGAGTTTAGGTTTTTGTTTTTTAATTAGTCTTCATTTTCATTAATAACTCTACTGTTACCTCAGGCACAAATTACCTACTGTAGCAATAATGAACAAAGCTCAGAGATGTTTGGTTTAATCCACCTGGGAGTTCACAAAAATTAAAACTAAGAACCATCTGTTTTATGCGCATGTCCAATATAGGGGCGGCAGGGGAGTTTTCTGGGGTTTCCAGAAGCATTTTGTTCCAGAAATACACCCTACGGATCATCACTTCCCAGCGTGTAACGTGCTGCAGTGTTTGAGCTTCAATGGATCACTTTGGTACAAACAAAGGAAGCAGATGACACTCTACCTCCTGTTTATGTGCCCAGTTGTCAGGACTTCAAGAAGGGGCTTCTGTGCTGCATGACGGTTAGAGTGTCAGTCTCCAGGGTCCCTTCTACTTTTTAAGTGTCAGTAATTCTACAAGAAGTAAGGAACTCAGAGCAACAATTCTGCTTAGCTCCTGTGACACATTATTACAACGCAAAATTAAGGGCATAGTTTGGCGAAATTTAGAATCAGTTATATGAAGCTTATGTCCCTTCTTTATTTTATAGGAAGACTGACTCAGTAGAGTGACTCCCTCCCAGTAGATGGCAATTGCATGCAGTGCTGTATATAGCACACTGTGGACACTGGATCATTCTTAGGTGAAGCAGCCATTGCTTGTGCTTCTCAAAGTGCACAACTGGAGTCCACTTTAATCTCCCGTCATACTCTAGTGCAGAGTGATCGGTGCCTTTGTGCCTTAGACTATGGCTTGTTCTTCATTGGCCCCCAGCAAATATCTAGCACCTAGTGGGCCTCTGATAGACATGTGTTTATCGAATGGATCCTATTTTATTGAAGTGGTTTTGCATTTCCCAGAGCAGGAGAAGAGAGCAGGCATTTCAGAAGAGGAGCAGCAAGTGCACATGGTTCCAGAAATACCAAGTTGTCCTGGGTAGCTGCATCTTGCAGTGTACTGGGGGTAGATTTTTTAAGCTGCTTTTGCATGTACTGACTACATGGAGCATCCTGCATTGCCATAAGGTCCCAACCATAGACTTGTATATTCTTCACTAGCAGTCACTTTCTCTCAGCTCTAATTCCTTTTCTCCAATATCCTCTCATCTGAGCCTCTGAACATCTAATCTCTCTCTCCTTAAAACTTTTATCAAAGGGAGTTTTAAAGTAAGCATCAAGGTTAATTTCATGCCGTATAATTATGCTGACCACATTTCCAGGAACTTTTGTATAAGCTTCATGTAATCTTATCTTTAAAAAAAAATACACCCCCCCCACACACATAGAGAGAGTACATTATATGTGTAAGTAGCTGTGATTCAAGTTCTATGCCTTTATAAGGTTTTTTCATAAATCAGGAATGACCCTGTGTTCCAATTTTTCTTTCTGAAAGTGTGTGGATTACATAATATGTCCCTTGCCAACTTCACTATGCTGACATGGGTCTTACTGAGTTAATGCATGTGAATGTGTTTGTAAAGGAAAAGCTATACATAATTGTATGCTATTGGTGCAAGAAATACTAGGTGCCCTTTTGTGGGGCAAGGTGGGTCTCATCTGGGACTTTGCTTGTCATGTGCCAGGCTCTAAGATGAATTTCACAATGTCCTGAAGCTCTGGTTAAGGAATAGTCCTCCTTCTGGGGAAGGAAGCCAGTGGTTTCTGGGAAGCTGAACTGGGGGCAGTTCTTGCCTCTAAGATACAGATTCTCCCATCCACACTTTTAGCTTGTTGTCTTGGCCACGCTGCAGAAGCTCTTGGGGTTACTGCAGACACCTTGCTCTTGCCCCACAGCATGGAGTCAGCTCCGGCCAGCCACTGACAACTTTTCACTCCAGGCCATCCTCTTTCTGGGACTGGGAACTTTCAGATGTTGTGGTTGATCCACCGCTGGCTCTCCCAGTGACCTTTCTACATCGCAGGTGTCTCCAACTTCAAGTGGTCATTGACCCCTCTGATATCTTGAAAAAGTCATAACTGGTGCTAAGCAGAATTCATCCCTCTGTGGTCACCAGTGTTGTGCATGTAGGGTTCCATATGGGTGTCCAATTGTTAGCCACAAAGGCTCAAGATAAATTCCACAGCACCACCGGCAGACTTTGGTGGAGAAACAGAAAACTATACCAGGCCAATATCAGTGAGAGAAGAGAAGCCAGGTTCTTCCTTCCTGCCATCTTCCCTCAGAGAGGCCTGAAGAGACCAGGGTGTCTGCTGGACTTGCAGGAGATTGCTGGGGAGGGAGATCCATTGTTCTGGTGCAGGGATCTTGCCCTCTCTGCTGTCCTGCCTTTTGTGGGTAGGTGTGAGAAAGTGGACCTGTCAGGGGGAATAATCAGACCACTTTGGTACCTTGTTATCTGGTTTGGGGTTTCAGCTGTTTAGAGGGTTTGTCTAGGATTACCTGTTGCTCAAACCCTGGGGAATTTGGGGCCCACCCCCACCCACACACATAGGTAATACAACACCTCCTGCAGGGAGAAGTTGGTGAGGGCCATCCCAGATAGCTCACTGATGAAACAGTGAAAATTAAAGGTCATTTTTGGTCAGTTCTCCACTTTGCATCACAACCTGGTTACTGAACCCTGAGGTTTAGTCCTATTACTTGTTTCATATTTATCCATAAAGATAGTTGTTCAAGGAGACCTTCAACTACTAATTATTGCAGTCTGGGATCTCCAGGGTGCAGACTCTGATGTGCAGATGAACACACAGGGGATTTACCAGGGAGTGTTCTGAGGGTCAACACCTGTAGAAGGGAAGCTATGGAAGAAAGTTTGTCAGCAAGAAGTTAAGCTGAGATTCAGTCATTTCCAATGAAGTCCTGAAGCATTCTGAAGCTGGGATGACCCTTCAGAGTCATCCCCAATTGGGGTCAAGGGTCTGGACCTTTATATGACCACATTGTTCAGTGATTGTGTGCTGGCTGCCCTGGGAAGGGGTTGCAAACTTGGGCAAAGTGGCTGTCTTCAGCCTGAAGCCCTGAAGGAAGCTGCTGTCTGAGGACTTTCTCTTGGCTGCCCTCCCAGTGGCTGGGGCAGTGTAGCAGAGCATCTACTGCAATAAGCAAAAGATGTTTGGAATACTCTTCAGTGCAATCTCAAGGAGTTTCCCTTATTCTGAATTTGGTGAATTGTTTTTTTCTTGTTTACACGCATTTCCAATTAACCCCAAAGTGGAGTTGATACCAGGTAATAAAGTGGTGATGGGCACTTGGACGACAACTCAATGACAGTCCTCTGTTTGGGTCTACCAGTTGTATTTCTGTACTTCAAATGGTAATTGTACTGTCTCTGATAACAATCATCAAAAATATGGCATGTGCACAGAACTTCATGTTTACGCACTTCTCAGGCTGAACTAATGAATTACTGAAATAATCATATAGAAGGCTGCTCTTTAAAAAGTCATCAGATTTTCACATCAAAAGTCACCCTGTATTAGCTGGTCATGAAACAGTATAAGTGTATGTACTATTTATTCCTTCTTTTAGAACAATGCTTTGAGGAATTGTCATTGTTTAGAATATTAAGTTGTCCTAGTTACATAAATATTGTATGAATATTAGTTCAAAAACTTTAGTTAAGGGCCGGCCTGGTGGCACACTGGATAGTGCGCCGCTTGGGAAGCGCGGCGGCGCTCCCGTCCGAGGGTTCGGATCCCACATACAGACCGGTTCCCGCTCACTGGCTGAGCGAGGCGCGGGAGCAACACCGAGGCTTGCAATCCCGTTGCCGGTCCCCGGTCCGGTACGGGGGCAACACTGAGGGTTGCGATCCGTTGCCGGACACGGAAAAAAAGACAAAAAAAAAAAAAACTTTAGTTAAAATACTATTTTGAGACTACCTGAAAGTCATTTCCTCTTACTCTGCTGTTAGAACTTTAAATGTCATCAGTAATGTATAAAAGAGCCATTGCATCTGTTTGTTACAATTTGTTTAAATTTTAATCAAACTTAAAGTAATGTTTATGCCACCATTTTAAAGCAGCACAGCATTATTCTCGATTCTGCTGGGGATTTCTGATAGAATGAGCAACGTGCTGAAGTCATGCTCCTGAGCTTTGTAATGTTTCCAAAATCAATTTTTGGAATTATTTCTTGTAAGTCTCTGCAGTCCAACCATTACAACCAGTGAACGGTGTTTATCAATGTTCAGCCAGCCCAGGTACTTAAAGAGCTTACTGTGCTGAAGTGTTTCACTTAGGAAGAACTATAGTCTTGTGTCCTGCAGGCTGTTTATAAGATGTTTGATTCCTTTAAGGACCCAGACACTTGTCATGGGTTTAGAGAAGCCACTTTTCACTCACTGGAGGAGATCCAAACAGCACTCTGTTTTTTTCTTTTCCCTCATTTCTGTACTCCTGTCTACTCTCTGGCCAATCTAGACACATTATCAGTTCATGAACTCTTTGTTCAAGGTTTACTGTGTAACCTTATTTGTTGTTGTTAAAGATGTTTTCTTAACATTTATATCAACTTTGATCCAAACTCTCCTAACAGCTTGGAGCCAGTCTAGGGCAGGAGGTCCATTACTTTTCCAACTCAACCCAGGTTGGAGGGGATTTGGAGCGATGCTCAGAGGCTTGGCCAACTGCAAACCATCTATCTCCTAAGTGTGCCTTTTTGTTATGCCTTTTCAGACCTTGGTCTATTCTCCCTGGCTTCCTTCCTACATTCTACTTTTTTCATCCCCTTTTCCAAAACACATGATATGCTCACTTGCCCTTGGGGAATCCATAGTGCCACATTCACTCGAAAGACTAGACACTTAAAAGTTTATCACATCAGAGGTCAATGTGACAGTTCTGGATTGTAAGTGAATAGATCATGTT